TATTACACGGAAGGATTGATCAGGAATTAGTATTACACGGAATGATTGATCAGGAATTGGTATTACATGGAATGATTGATCAGGAATTGTATTACATGGAAGGATTGATTAGGAATTAGTATGACATGGAAGGATTGATCAGGAATTAGTATGACATGGAAGGATTGATCAGGAATTAGTATGACATGGAAGGATTGATCAGGAATTTGTATGACATGGAAGAATTGATCAGGAATTAGTATGACATGGAAGGATTGATCAGGAATTTGTATGACATGGAAGGATTGATCAGGAATTGGTATGACATGGAAGGATTGATCAGGAATTGGTATGACATGGAAGGATTGATCAGGAATTTGGTATGACATGGACGGATTGATCAGGAATTTGGTATGACATGGAAGGATTGATCAGAAATTGGTATGACATGGAATGATTTGGAATTTCATGGAAGGATTGATCAGGAATTGGTATTACATGGAAGGATTGATCAGGAATTGGTATGACATGGAATGGTTGGTGCAGAATTTGTATGACATAGAAGGATTGATCAGGAATTGGTATTCCATGGAATGGTTGATGAGGAATTTATTATTAAGATGATATTAAACCCAAAAGCAAATATTTATTATATTGCATCTTACCAGGTCCTAGCTATGATGGCTGCGTTCGTTTTTTAGGCTTTCTTTTATTTTCATCTGATGATCCTGCTAGTAAATCTATTTTTATTTATTTTTTTTAATTTTTTTTTTTTACAGAAAAGCTCTCTTGCAGTTACAGGGATGAGACAAACTATTTACACTGACAGGGGTGCTAACAATGTTCTTATTTATTTATGTAAAACATTTCCTAAAAGGAAAACGACTGTTTGCTGTGACTGTTTATAAAGTGTTAGCTGGGGTTCAGCTTCAATTTGTTTGTGTATTTTAAATCTGCTGATACTTCTGACACTGCCTCCTGTGCTCCTCCATCCAGAGTGGTGTCTGTATAATGCAGGTGTGCTACTGGCTAGATCATCAGGTGAAGACAGAACGGGGAAAAAAGTCTAAACAAAACTAATGCAGCCACCACATCTAATGATTGGTAAGCTGCAACATATTACATTTTTGGTTCTGGGCTTAATATCACTTTAAATGGAAGGATTGATGGATTTATATTACATGGAAGGATTGATGAAGAATTGGTATTACACTGAGGAATGGATAAGAAATTGGTATTGGGAGAATTGATGAAAAATTGTATCACATGGAAGGGTTGATCAGGAATTGACATTAGATGGAGGAATTGGTATTCGATGGTGAGATGGATACAGAATTTGGTATTACATATAGAAGGACCAATGAGGAATTGGCATTGGATGGAGGAATCGTATTAGATAGTGAGATGGATATGGAATTTGTATTACATAGAAGGATTGATGAGGAATTGGTATTCAATGGAATGATTGATGAAGAATTTTTTATTACATGGAAGAATTGTTGAGGAATTGGCATTCAATTGAACAATTGGTATTAGATGGTGAGATAGATAAGGAATTGGTATTACATATAGAAGGACCGATGAGGAATTGGCATTGGATGGAGGAATTGGTATTCGATAGTGAGATGGATATGGAATTGGTATTACATAGAAGGATTGATGAGGAATTGGTATTCAATGGAATGATTGATGAAGAATTTTTTATTACATGGAAGGATTGTTGAGGAATTGGCATTCAATTGAACAATTGGCATTAGATGGTGAGATAGATAAGGAATTGGTATTACATATAGAAGGACCGATGAGGAATTGACATTAGAATGAGGAATTGGTATTAGATGGTGAGATGGATATGGAATTGGTATTACATAGAAGGATTGATGAGGAATTGGTATTCAATGGAATGATTGATGAAGAATTTTTTATTACATGGAAGGATTGTTGAGGAATTGGCATTCAATTGAACAATTGGCATTAGATGGTGAGATAGATAAGGAATTGGTATTACATATAGAAGGACCGATGAGGAATTGACATTAGAATGAGGAATTGGTATTAGATGGTGAGATGGATATGGAATTGGTATTACATAGGATTGATGAGAAATTGGTATTCAATGGAAGGATTGATGAAGAATTTGTATTACATGGAAGGATTCATCAGGATTAGGTATTACCTCTCCTCACTTTTAGATTGCAAGCTCAATGGGCAGGACCCTCCTAATCCTTCTGTATTGTAACTGTACTTTCTCCCTTTGTATTGTAACCTGCTGCACAAACTGTTAGTGATATATAAATGTTGTATGATAATATCATATAGAAGGATTGATGAGGGATTGGAACTACATGAAATATTGATTGGGAATTGGTTATGGATTTTGTTTGTGTATGATTTTAATTTCCAGTGTTGGAAGTTCACTTACAACTTTGTAGTATACAGGGATATATACCTGTGTAAAAGAATAGTGAGCATTGTTATAAATATGATTGTTGTATTTCTCAAACCCCTAACACTGGATTTATGTGATTGTGCCTGTAGGATCCACTGTTGTGTTTTTTTTATTTTTATTTAAAATTTATTTCAGATACTTATATAGTGCTGTCAATTTACGCAGTGCTTTACATATATATTGTACGTTCACATCAGTCCCTAACCCTCAAGGGGCATACAATCTAAGGTCCGTAACTCACATTCATATACAAGGGCCAATTTAGACAGGATCCAATTAACCTACCAGCATGTCTTTACCACAAGGAAGACAAGCAAGCAACTGTCAGAGCCCACTTAGATCTATGCAGTGGTTTTGTTGCACAAAGTGTTGCTAATAATAATAATGTGTGTAGAGGTGCATGTTTTTGTAGCATTAGGTAGGTGCATTGTCATGTGTCAGTGTGCTGTTATCTGGAGTGCTGCCATGAGTGCTGATGCGTGTTTTCAATGGGTTTTTGAATTTAGAATATGGAGAGGATAGAGTCAACAGCAATTGATCAGGGTATGTTAATATCGGTTGTCAACACGTTATATGCATTTTGATGCTCTGGCGTTGGCTTCCCAGTGTACTCAAACACAGAAAAAACTGGACATGTATTCTTTAAAACGCACTGCAGATGGGAACAGACACTATTATGGGGAACCACAACGCATACATTTTAGAATGTGAGCATTAAAATATAGTAGTGTAAATGAGCCCTCAAAGAATACAAAACAAAGGATTCAGGGAGAATAATATAAATATATAACTTGCTTTTTTTTCTGGTTTTAAATTCAAGTTGTTATTTTTTTAGCATTAAAAATATGCAGCCCATCCATGAACTAATAACAATACTTTGTGAATTTCATGTCACTTTATAGGCTTGACAATTACAACTAAATTCTTGAAAGGGACAAAAACAGTCAATGAAATGTTTTCCATTTGAGTTTTATTTTATACACATTATTAGAAGCAATGGAGTTTAATAACTGTGTTTAAATAAAATAGTCTTTGTAAATAAAACAACAACATTGTTACTGGGTGCAAACCTAGAGCCGTAAGCAGTAATGCCTAGTACACACATGATGGGAATATCGGACAAATGGTCCTCCTTTTTTTTTTTTCTGGTTTGCATGCTAGTCTTATATTGACTATTAAGAGGTGAGACAGAACACAACTTCAGAAGTGATATAATGTATTGTATTGTAATGTATTTCTTAGTTTCCGAGCATGCATGGTCTCTCAATATGTTTTTTTTTTTGGACAAATACTGTACTGATTAAACAAAAATTGTTTGCTCTGTTATTGTTTGAAAAAATGTGTGCTTGTCCTTTTGGCTATTGTCACATGAACTGTCTTGATTGGCTGTCAGAAGCTGTGTATTAAAAATCAGATTATCGCAAATCCTTCTGAAAGCGATTTTTTTTTCCCTCCTATCCAATATTCTCATTTTGTCCAACTAGCCTGGAGTTTTCTTTGGTAAAAGATAACTTGTACGAAGAAGATGATTTGTCCCAATATCTTACTTATACTTGGTGTGGGAATGGACTTATAAATGAGAACAGAAATCTGTTACCTACAATGGATAATTACTCATGTACATCAGTCCTCGGTATTAGAAAATGTAATCTTTGTACAATTTGCTTATGTCCTAAAAGTAACAGAAGTAAATGCATTATTGTTTGTGGCTGTTTATAGGCTTTAAAGATGTTTTAAGTGTTAAAATTGGTGACAAATGAAGGTTTATTTTTATATAGTGGGCAGCACAGTGGCTAAATGGTTAGCACTTCCGCCTGGCAGTACTAGGGTCGTTGGTTCATATCCCAACCACGGCACCACCTGCCTGGAGTTAGCATGTTCTCCCTGTGCCTGCGTGGGTTTCCTCCGCGTACTCTGGTTTCCTCCCACACTCAAAGGACGTGCTGGTAGGGTAATTGGATCCTGTCTAGGCCCTAGTATGTGTATGTATGAATGTAAGTTAGGGACCTTAGATTGTATGCCCCTTGAGGGTTAGGGACTGATGTGAGTGTACAATATATATGTAAAACGCTGCATAAATTGATGGCGCTGTATAAGTACCTGAAATAAATAAATATCAAAATGTTAATCACTTTTTTTGAAAACGCAGAGTAATATTTATATATTTCAACCTTTTCGCTATCCACTTTTTACCTGTAAAATGATTTCAGCAAATTATTTACTGCATATGAATATACCCTTTAAAACTGAGGCTCCTACTTTGTGCAGAATAGGAATATTTGTTTAATATTTATAAATCAGAATTTGAGAGCAGAACCCTGGAACAAAAAGTACAGTTCTGCCCATAGTGTTGAATCGGGCATTGTCATTTATTCCCCAGTGGAATGAGGTGAGGAATATTGTACTATGGGTGGCAACTCCATTTTTGTTCGAATTTTTTTTTCTCAATTTTTTTTATTATTAGTCTTCAACTGGCAGCCTTGTGCATGTGTTTCCACTTCTCATGGGTTTTTCAATCACTCTCCCACTTTGAAGGTGTGTGTAACTTTTCCTTAAATTTACATTCTCTTTTCAGACAAGAAAACCGCTGGTTGAGAAGAGGAGAAGGGCAAGAATAAACGAGAGCCTGCAGGAGCTAAGGGGCATCCTAGCTGACAATGAGGTGTGTGCCAGTCTAGGAGAGTACAGTTTAAGGTCCCTAGCTCACATGCATAGATTCACACATACTAGGGCCAATTTCAGACAGGAATCATGTAACCAACAGCATGTCTTTTGGAGTGTGGGAGGAAACCAAAGTACCTGGAGTAAACCCATGCTTGCACAGGGAGAGCATACAAATTTATTGCAGATAGTGTCCTGGCTGGAATTTGAGTCAAGGACTCCAGTACTGCAAGGCACTGTTAACCACTAAGCTACTATACTGCCCACTGCACAGTTTAACTTAAACACACAAGGAGATATTTACTAAAATTGGAGCACTCAGAATCTGGTGCAGCTGTGCATAGTAACCAATCAGCTTCTAACTTCAGCTTGTTCAATTAAGCTTTGACAATAAAACTTGGAAGCTGATTGGTTGCAGAGCTGCACCAGATTTTTGCACACTCCAGTTTTGGTAAGTCAACTCCACAGTGTTTAAACACAGTTAACCACCCGTTTGAAATTAAGTGCATAAATGGCTAATAGATAATCTAAACATAACATCCACTCTGTAAATCATAAACCAAATAAATACAGTACTATAAAATTTACAGTAGCAAATGATGAACGGGATTGTGACAATATTAATGTTCGTGTTTTTGTTTTTTTTTTTTTTTTTCTATTACTAGTTTCAGTCAAAGATGGAGAACGCAGAGGTTTTAGAGCTCACTGTGAAACGGGTACAAAGGATTTTACAGAGCAGATCAGCTGGTGGGTATTTGAATTGTAAATCTGCGACACAAATTTACCGTCTAATCTGGTTGCAGCTGAATATGTGGATAATATTTCTGGCTGTTATCCTACAAATGCTGCTATGGACTGCAATATTGTTTCTTTTTTTTTTTTTTTTACTTAGGTTCGCTGTTACAATTTAGTAACAATATATATATAAATTGGCTACATTGGAAGGAGGTTTTCAGTTTGGCACAAATGTATCTTAAAATTGAATCCTAGGAAAATATTAAAGAAAAAACCTTTGTTCCTTTTTTATATGTTAACTAAAATTATTAAATATACTTAAAATATATCATTTAAAATACTGCTAGTAGAAAATTGGGTTTATATTATCCCTGTTAAGCAACAATTGTAGTTGGAGGTTATGAACAGTGACCCATCAAACAGTATGGCGTTACATGATCGTATGGTGCTGTCAGTCTAACACAATTTTAGGCAGTGAAGGGGAAACTGTTAGACAGCTTGAAGGAAGAACAAAGTACAGGATGAATCTCATCATCGTGATACTTTTTATAGTCCAATGAGCAGACAGATGATTGAAGCTATAGTAGGAAAAACCTGTGTCACCATCCAGGCAGTGCTGAAGCTTGTGAGTCAGCAGAATGGAACAGATTATAAATAATTTGTCAGGTCAATATATGTATTTAAGCAATGCGTTTTTTTTTTCTTTTCCCTAAAAATAGCTGTTCTACATTGCACAATCAGGTGTAAAGCCCAGGAAACTTGATAATTCTCCCTTGAAGGGGGGCTGCATCTGCAAGGCCCTGCACCGCAGGGGTTATCTATACGTTTAGGTCAAGCGTGCATGGAAAGGTAGATATACTTACCCAATCCTCCACTCCTGCAGGCTTCTTTTGCACTGCTAAACCAATCCCGCAGCATCTTCTTCCCAATGCTCTGACAGTCCAAGGTCCTGACATCATCGAGACTGATGCAGGAACCATAGTCCTGCACTGGATAAGGAGGCACCAAAGGACAGTCCACCACTGGAGCATGGGGGAGCACCGTCTGCTGGGGGAACAGGAGGATCAGGTAATTAACATTTCTTTTACTGGCCCCTAGACTAAACAAATGTAAGCTTTTGTAGGCTCCAGGAGTGTACTTAACACTCCTGTGACCTGTATAAAGCCCTTTGACATCTGACTTCAGTGAAGCAGTCCAGGCTCTGGAGAGATCCTGACTTTAAAGTCAGGATCCACCCAGATTCCTGACCGGCAGCTGGCTCAGCCTCTCTACTAGCCACTGAGAGCCTGTGCCAGCTGCTCCCACCCCCTCCACAGCCTGGCGCTTCAGTGAGCACTGGAGGGGCAAAATATAGGGCTGGAGACTGACCTTCACCAGCTCTCTGCTGACTGAGCAATCTGAACTGAGTGAAAAGCGTTTTATTTTTAGTTGGTCAGATCTCAGCCTTAGCAGTGGTGGGGGGACAGATACAGCATCAGATTAATGCTGTGCCCACCTAGGTGAGAATGTATGTTAATTGTTTTTTTAATTCTTATAGTTCTCCTTTTAACTCTTGCAGGGCATGCACTTTAAAGGCTAAATCATCCTTAGGACCCTTTTAATATGTTAAATGTATATGTACCGTCTGCATATTTGTATCAGCGGTATGGCTTAGTAGCACAAACCAAACCTCTTGTTGATAACTACCTGGTTTAGAATAGATTGGGGTTGATGGACTAAATAGGAAGACATGGTTCACTTGCTTAGTAAATAAAGTGCATCACTTTGCTTGCAACCAAAAAATGTTTTTTCCCTCCATGCACATGATTGGATATTCACAATGAACATGTTTCCCATTTATTTACTAATCTAAGTGAACATTCTCCTCTCTTTTTAATTCCCCTCAATTAAATCAATGTTATGCAGGTAAGGTCTAAAATAAAAGGTTCATCTCAATTCCCTAAGTGTAAATGTCTGTTCAGTTTAGCAGTAAAGATGGCCTATAGATGGTATGACCTTTTAGTATGTGTTATGATAGTGTTGAAGGTAGGTGCGCATATTCTGACAGCTGTAAAAATCATGATGTGATATGAGAGTACTGATGTTTCTTTGCCTTGTTTTCCTTGCAGAGACTGACCGGTTGCAGAGAGAGGCCAGCGAGCGTTTTGCTGCAGGCTACATCCAGTGCATGCATGAGGTGCACACCTTTGTGTCTAGTTGTCCTGGCATTGATTCCGGCCTGGCTGCAGAGCTGCTCAACCATCTATTGGAGTCTATGCCTTTAAGTGAGGGGAACATACAGGATCTGGTCCTTGATGTGCTTCTGGATTCTCCTGTCTCGGATTCTTCCTGTGGCCTGGGATTGTTGGGATCCTCCTCCGATGACAGCTGTTCTGATGCAGAGGAATCTGATATTGTCAAGGGAGGGACAGAGCCTATGCAGGACAGTGACAGGACCCCTGAGATTCAGCCGCCTCCTGCCCCTTCAATGTGGAGACCATGGTGATCTAGAGAAGATTATGTGTGCACTTGGGGACCTGTGCTGACCTGTTCACCTATGCCGTGTACCTTAGTCCCAGGACAGCTAATGCATGTCATGTCTACATGTTTGGATTTTCTACACTGTAACTTGTTGCAGTACAAAGAATCACACAGCATAACTGGGTTGGTTTTCAGCCGTCTCAATGTCTTTGGTGTAAAAGTCACTTCATCCCGGACAAAGCCTTTCCTCAGTTGAGATGGCAAGATCACAGTATGGACTAAACTGCAGGATATATCCCTGTAAAAGATGCTCTGTAATCAAACTTACTGTATGTTCAACATTACGTATGTGCAACATGTTTATAGTCATTGTATAGATACTATTCATTATACTGCGCAGCAGGTTCTTTACATAGGCACTATCCCTTAATCGGAGGGTCTTGTTCACAGGAGGCTGTAAAAGGTTTTACACTTTCAGTGGAAATATAGGAACATCTTCTGCCTTATACTGGTGTCCAGTGTAAGAAGAATTAAAACCTGATGACTTCCAAATCTTCACATGCTGAAGTATTGCCATGATTTCAGATGGCTAGAGGTGGATCTCAGAAGCTGGGCCCTCTTTAGTGGATTTAACTATAGGGTTGTAGGGGCTTCACACATATCCCTGAACGAGCAAATCCTTTAAATTGAATGAATGGAACCACACTATTCACAAGAACAGCGGTGTAAATCTCAGTGGCTGAGCTTTGGAATTTGTGCTGAACCTTAGTGAGGGTGCAAGACACCCACCCATTATAATAGTAAGCATGGTCTATCATTAGAATCACTGGGTATAGTTTGAAGAAACGTGCCTGTTGCACTATGTATGAAGCAGAGTTGCCTGCTCTAAATCTATTGGCTTAGGAGACAGTTTTCTTTGTAATGTTGTGTGCATGGTTTACTGTACCTTGGGCCTGCTTCTGTCATGTAGCCTTGTGTCGCCTTACACACCTGGTGCAAGCATACACAGTGTCACAGCTGGCCCTCTCTATGCCCATGGCTCTATAGCTCTATGGCTTCTACAGTGAAGGAAAGAAGTATTTTATCACCTGCTGATTTTGAATGTTTGCCCACTCACAAAGAAATGATCGGTCTAAAAATCGAATGTTCGGTGTATTGTAACACTTAGAGACAGAATAGCAACAAAAAATTCAAAACAAGATCCTCACGTGTAGTTCTGGGATGATTCCTCACTGTTCTCATGATCATTGACACTCCATGAGGTGAGATCTTGCATGGTGCACCAGACCTAGGGAGACTGACAGTTGTTTTGTGTTTCTTCCATTTGTGAATGATTGCAACAACTGTTGTCACCTTCTCACCAAGCTGCTTGGCGATAGTTTTGTAGCCCAGTCCAGCCTTGTGTAGGTCTACAATCTTGTCCCTGACATCCTTGGACAGCTCTTTGATCTTTGCCATGGTGGAGAGTTTGGAATCTGATTGTTTGATTGCTCCTGTGGATAGGTGTCTTTTATACAGGTAACAAAATTAGATTAGCAGCGCTCCCTTTAAGAGACCGCTTCTAATCTCAGCTTGTTACCTGTATGAAAGACACCTGGTAGGCAGAAATCCTGCTGAATGATAGGGGATCAAATACTTATTTTCCTCATGAACATGAAAATCAGTGCATAATTTGTTAGACTTGCATTTCTTTAGAATTTTTGTATTTTTTTTTTTAGAATTTTTGTTGCTATTCTGTGTTACAATACAACTACCATTCGATTTTTAGACTGATCATTTCTTTGTGAGTGGGCAAACATTCAAAATCAGCAGGGGATCAAATACTTATTTCCTTCACTGTATATGAACATGCTCATCTCTTGAATTTTGTTCCTCTATTGTTTCACAAGACCTTGCAATCCTCCTCAACTATAGTAGAAAAGTCTAATATGTGAGCAAAAGGGACAGAGTAACGCAGGGATTTTTTTTTTTTGCTTAATACATAGTGCACATGGCAATGTTACAGCATTTTATTCTGTTACAGCCTAAAATAGAGTTGTTAATCTGAAGGATTCCGTTAAAAAATCAGCGTGCTCATGATAAGGGAAATAGTTAAGACACCTGGTTTGAGAAAAGCTTTATATAGGGGAAATGTAGGTAGTGTTTCCTCTGGCTGCGCATGCATAGTGGTAGTGCATTGAATTCTCATCCCTAGGAGGGATGTCTAGAGTTAGGTAAATTGAGGTTCTACCTTCAGTGAAGGAGACTATAGAGGATTGTTTGGATACCGATTTGAAGGGTGCTATAGGAAACTTTCAGGAATATGTGTATATTAGAGAGGTAATGTGTTGTGTGTGTAATTTTTTTTTTTTTTTTTGTGTACATAGATGACTGTTTAAACACTGTTGGGAGCAGGTGCCTGAATCTATGTGATGCACTTGAAGCATATCATGAGAAATACACGGTCTCCATTATGTGCATCCATCTGGCAAGCACTTATTCTTCTTTTTAAACTTTTTATCATGGATCTTACTGTCTTTTTATACTAAAATGTACTAGTGTGTGTAAGTAGTGCTACTGTGCATTAATTTCCTATAAATAAATTAATGATCTTTGATGAAAAAGCATGGATTTCTTTTTTACACATTAAATTGCACATAGACTATCTGATCTGAGATAAACTTTGAAGGATTTGGCAACTGTGTGCAAGAGCCAAACACCACATTGCACTGGTCCTCATAAAATGAGTAAATTCCTTGCTTACTTGATAACCAGCTCTTACAAATGTTTGTACCACAAATAAAAGGTATGATCTGTGTGATCTTAAAGAATAGTGCAAAGCTGCTCTTTGGCAATGAAAGTTCCTATAAGGGTCCTAGTCTTTACCTTTTAGGTATATTCTGACACACCTAAAACTGCACTGAATTATACCTAAAGTGTATTGGTAGTTCTGTCCCATTATTTTCAATAGTACATTTCTAAACCGCACACTTTAGGACTAATTTACATCCAAGTGGGATAAGTACAACAATGTACCAGATGTGAAAGAAATTCAACGTATATTATTCAATGGCTTGATTTAATTATATTCACTGCACTTTGACAGTGTACCTCAATCTGCCCGTTTATGGCTGGTATTGTTGCAGTGATTGGCTGAATAGAGTTGGGTGCTCTCCACACTGCTCTGTACCAGTGTTCTGGCTTTAGATAATTACTTTCAATTATAACTACAGAGTGGGTACCATAATGTGAATACTCACACCTGCAGCATGTCTGCAAACCCTTCTGAAACATCACAACTTTTGAAGCATGGGTAGCGTAAGCATGTTCCCTCCCACGTCTCACAAGTTGTTTCCAGACCTAAGTGTAGTCATGTGAAGGAAGCGCCTAACACTTCAAATCTGTATTTGTAATGGATCTCCTAGGGTTCTGTCAAACCTTAGAAGAGGTTTTGCAGAAGTACTGCCAGTTTGAATTTGCATGTTATGCAGCATACTAGTCTAAAGTACAAATGTAGTTTAAAACTCAGGTCTTTAGACAGACATTCTTTTTATTCACTCCTTAAACACTATTTTGTCCTCCCCTGTGAGTCATGGCACAACTGCCACTGAATTTATAGCTTATTCCATTACCTCCCTTTTACTTTGCTTCTACTTACACATTCGCTACTTAAACCAGAATTTAGTCTCACAATAACACTCCACATCAGCTGTTCTCAAACTGTTCAGGTACATCAGCATTGCTGGGGGATGCAGGCCCTAACCAAATCTCTAGCCTCCCTGGCGGTATTCCCGAGTGTAGCTCGGGGTAAAGTTTCAGTACCACTAGCGGTAACCCCGTGCTACACTTGGGCTTACCATGCGGCGCTACTCTGGGATCTGTTCTTCTCTTACCTTGTCCTGCGCTCCCGCGATGTCCCCCCTGCAGTGTCCCCTGTAATGTCCTCCGGCAGATGCCAGCATCTGTCTTCTGGGTTCCGTCCCCTGTGATGTCGGGACGTACGGGGGACAGAACTGGTGGGAAATTTGAAAATGACAAAAAGTGACATTCACTAAATTCACTAAAATCACATAGTATAACATTACTGTATCAAACCATTTCACATACATATTGTCCCTAGTGCTTTGTCCTGTGCCCTGCCTGCATTTTTACTGTTCTTTCTGCCTGGAAACTGAGAAACGTCCATGGCGTCCAAAAAGTGTCCCTTTAGGTCAAAAGCGGTTTTAGACCAGCTAGAGAACAGCGATAGTAAATCAGAACCACTTGCAGGATTGAGTGATAATGATTTGTGGGGAAATTCGTCATCAGACACTGAAAACGATTTTGCAGCTTTCCTCACTGATGTGCAAACTTGGCGCTCTATTTCAAATTTCAGTGTTTTTGGTTTGATTATATTATTGAATTAAATTTATTATTATTAGATTATTATTTTTTTTATGATTATTTCCTAAATTATAATTTATGATTTTGTGTTTCAAATTTTAACATATCCGGGATGTTAACTAGACTCTTGTTCGGACAGATTTCAGTGAGTTATTCCTAAAAATTACAGGCCTACAATAAAAAAAATACATATTTCCATGCAAAAAAATGTACTGCTTTGAGCACAGAAATATGGACATAATCAGACCGCTAGGGAGGTTAAGCTTGCCCTGGCAGAATCATTACAAGCAGCAGCTAGGTATTTGGTATTTGGTATCTGGAGGCAGATATAAGCAGACTGACACATTTGGCAAGCAATGGTTCAAAGTAGACAAAGGTGATCAGAGAGGGCAGAATGTGTGCTACTAGGTGGAAGGGTTGAGTAAATGGTGGATATGGGTAAAATATAGACAAAGTAAGCAAAAGATAGAATGGATAAAACTAGAGTACTAAGACTGATTACCACAAATGAATTATCTGCATGAATTGTGTATGTTCCCCTGTGTTTGCATAAGTTTCCTAGTATTAATTTAGTCCACAGTCCAAAATATACTGTTAAATAGCTTCCCCTCTTTGGTTTGTGTGTGCACGTTTGTGGCTATGGTGGGTACATTAGGTTGTAAG